CAAACAATAAAAGAGAAAGGCTCAACAAAATAAACCTCATCCTCCACCAACATTACCATGCAGTCAATGCCATAGACTCTTCCATGCAAGAGCTGGTTTACTTAGTCATCAATGACATCACCATAAAGGAAGAGATCAGTAAAGAAGTAATTAAATTCTTGGATACAAAATAAAGCTGACATGGAGTTAAATCTTCATAAAAAGATTTACTCAGCTTCTTTGTAATTTCTACTCTTATCATTTTAAAAAAAAAAAAAAGAAAAAGCTTATAATAATCTTAAATCCTTACAATTAATCAGGGATTAAATTGCTATTATCAATTAAAAACATGAATATTATTTTTCTGTTAAGATCAGCTCTGTATACTTGCAGTATAAACAGTTTGTATGTGTGGGTTAAGCAGGCATTTGTATTTTTTTTTTTTAAACTAATGTTCACCCTATACATGACCCAAAAGTTTTACTGAAAGAGGAAGTTGTCTAAGAGGAAGGGGCACAGTTTATGAGGATATGTGGGAAAGATAACAGTTAATGCTGGACTTGAAGAGGTTAAGATTTCAGTGATTGCAGAAAATGTCCTCTTGGAAATAAGATCCACAAAGTAGCAGGTAATGAGAAGCTGTTTGAGTGGAACTTACTTCTCACTAATGGAAGAGGGTATGGCTAACCACCCTTGTAAATAGGTACAAAACAAATAGTAGCCAGCCATTATATATTTTTTGTGGATACTATAGTATTTTGAAGATACAGATTTTGATTAAATATACAGTAATATATAAGTTAATTTCAAAGCCTAAAAAAAAATTTTAAAAATAAAGCCTAAAAAATAAAATAAAATATAAATCCTAAAATTAAATATAAAGCCTTTAAAAAAAAAAAAAAAGGGAAAAAAAAATATCCCATGAACCACCTGGTGCTAAATGTGCATGTTGATGCTAAAGGAAGAATGTTCTGTAATTCATGAGTTGTTGCAAATATTGATAGAACATGCAGAATTCTAACTTTAATGGCAAATCATATTTAAAAGAAAAGCTCATAGTTAATGGCTATCAGCATGGAATGGGGGATCTGACAGTCAAGTTTAAATTCCATTCTAGTCTATTGCATTCACTTTCACACAAAAAGTTGTGAATCCATCTCTTCATCCCCACCTACAACTAATGGTTAAATAGCAAGGTAGACTGAATTCTCTGTCTTTAGGTGGCAACCAAAGAGAAGGAAAACTGAATTTTAAGCTTGAGAGAAAGCAACAGGAAACCACTCCACTATCTTTCCTAGTATAAATGGCAATTTATAGATAATAAAGTAAACTATGACATGAAGAGAAATATCAGAATAAAATGTGGTTGTGGTGCGGGCTAAACAACCGAGATTGTGAAGAATAAGTTGTCTATTCTTAAAATGTACTTAACATAGTCTTCCATTTTCTTAATGTGGTAGCTTGAAAGTAAATGAAGAAAAAAAGAAAAGTTTATTGGAAACGAACATGCAAACACTAATTTTTATCTTTTCCTTGTTTTGAATAAGAAAATTCAGTTCATTTACAATTGAAATATTGACTTGACTGAGATTAGCTTTGATCATCCAAATAAATATACGAACTGAAAAGTTAGAACAAAAATAAAAATCTTATATTAAATAAGAGAATGGCATTGAGCAAGAATGTTGAGGTTTTGCAGGATACATAATTCAACTATTTTACTTTAAGCCAATTCAGACACCAAAGCAGTGCGAGAATATATATATATATATATATATATATGACAAAGTAGAAAAATTTTCTTGTGACATGTTTTGCTCTTTGGAACTTCATTGGACAAAATTTCTTGGTGTCATTATACTTGCACACAAACTAGGAATTTTAAATTAAATTTTTTGTTTTTGTTTTATATCAGTTGATATCCGACACTGTGATTATAAAAGTTCTCTCAGGAATGGTAAAATGTAAGAAACAGGGCACAAATTTACTGTGGATAACTTTGCGATCAAAGCACTCTCTAAATGAAACACGTCACAAGAAAACTTTTACCATTTGGTCATACATTTTTTTCCTAGCGTTCTGGATATATAAAAATAAATTTGTATTTAGATAGCAATCCTTCTTTATACGAGTTGCATTGAAGACGACTGGCAAGGCACTGCCATTAGGCTTTTTATTAAATTTTTCTTGCATTCATACAAGTGATTTCCTTTCTGGATATCTATGTGCTGTGTCCTTTTAGGACTGATGATCATGGTTCTCCACAATTTCCTATCTCTTGTAGCTCTTATTAAATTATCTTTTTGTTATCTCTTCTAAACCCTGTTCCACCATTCATTTAATCAAACTTGCAAGGTAGGTTATACATTGTTTTCCTCTGTCCCTCTTGTCTTCAATCTGCTCTGTGAGTATTAAATTTTCTAAGCCCCCTTTCCTCATAATGTGTCCTTGAAATTTCAACTGTCTCTTATGTTAAATGTAAGTGCCCTTTCTGTTTGCATTTTCTCTGGACAAACCTGTCTCAAAACTGTGCAAATAAGCAGGACCAATTTGCCCTTAGAAACATTAACAAATGCATAACTCGAGTCAACCAGAACAAGAAGATTAATCCAATTATTTATTATAAAAATTTTTTTTAAAATGGCCAAACCTCAATTGTCAACAATAACAATTCACCAGCAAAATCCAAAGTATGTAGGATGAATATTTATGGAACTGAGTTTCCAATAAAAACAAATTCCTGAATAATAATTACATTGGCTAAAACAAGTATATGGTCATCAAGAAGACTAATTTTGCATCTCTCAGATCATAGCTCCATTAGGACCCATTTAAATACACACTGAGACCTACCAACCTGTCTGCATATAAACATAATAGACTCATCCACATGCAAAAAATTGGTTAAAAATAACATAAGCGTTAATAATAAAAGCCCACGCTCAGTAATATCAACTATGAACATGGCCACAGCATGCTGACCATGTTCAGAAATTAAAAACATCCCCATATATATATATATATATATATATATATATATATATATATGTATGTGTGTGTGTGTGTCTCTACATACTCAGTTAAAAAAAACCAAAAAAACCCTTGATAATTGCTAATAGATTAGCCAAAAATGCTCAGATCCACATATCATTTACAAAGTTTTTATACACTATGTCCAGAAAAGAAATCACCTATGTGTGCGCATATATATATATATATATAAATAAAATGTATGGTGTGCAGTAGATATACCCCCCACATAGTGGTAAGACATTAGCTAGATGGAGACACCATTTCCCCTAATGCCATACCATACCATTATGTGAAAGGTATTGCTGTAAAAAGATTTACTAAGCAGAAATTGCAAGAGTAAAGCTAGTTTGAAAAACATTTGTGAATTAAAGCAAGCATATCAAAATTTACTTTCAAGTTCAATATTTCTAAAATAATTAGTACATTTATGTTTTTAGTACAATTAGTACACTTATCTTTTTTTTCTCCACTATTTTATTTTTAAATTTGGCGATCATCATTGGATGGATTTTTCTTCTTGAATACTTTGTAGATTATATTCTCAAAGATATATATATATATATATATATATATATATATATACACATATACACACACACACACACATATATATGGTGAGATGTGTACATTGTTGCCATTTTATATTTTTAATTTTGTGCATTGTTTGTTTTTGATTTTGTCAACTGCACAGTACAGTAGGGTCAGTTGGGCACTGTGTGTGAGAAAAAGAGCAACATGACGCAATGCTATACTGCTTGGCATTTGTGCCAGAAGTTCCAATAGAAACATTTCAGAGTGTTTGGGTGTCAATACGAGGACAGTTCAAAGGATTCAGAACGAGACGGATGAGTCTAATGGTGATTACAAAGGTGTTTAGAGTTATCACAAGTGACGGTAACGTTACGTCTATTCATATTCTCCCAGAAGCCTACATCAAAATTTTCTGTAACCCCTTGCGTCCTAGTGGCTTCCTGCCTTGCTTGGGGTGAAATGCTTTAAAAAAAAAAAAAAATGCTTTGAGGAGGTAGTGCTGCCTTGGGTCAAGAGGGTGGCAGCTGGAAGACCCTATATCTGGCAAAAGGACAAGCCAGTCATGATTGTCAGTCAATGTCTGCAACCACATCACCCTTTGGCCACCTAACTCCCCAGACTACAACCCCCTTGATTATTATATGTGGGGTGCAGTTGAGCAAGAGACAAAAAAAAAAAAAAAACTCCTTGTAAGACCAAAGATGAACAGAAGGTAAGGATTATGGCAGCATTCATGAACTTAAACAAGGAGGCCATCCAGAAGAGTTGCAGGAGATTCTAAAGTCATCTAGGACATGGTTGAAGCCAATGGCAATTTTATTGAATAAATTTGCTCTTTAGTATTTCAAGATATATATTTACCAAAATTAAAAAAAAAAAAAAGTTATAATAAAATGTCAGTGTTATTTTCATTTTTGTGTAATTTAGATGAGAATTTATTCATTACACCCTAACAAACATCAAAAATTGATATTTCCAGTTAAGTAATTTTCTATATATAATATTAACAATGCTCTATTTTTGATATTATTTTAATATTTTTAATATTGAGCATTATATGAAAATATCTGCTTTACTTTTGAACTATTATATTCTTTATATATATATATATATATATATATATATATATATATATATATATAACTGCTTTAAAGAGTAGTTTATTTCTGTTGATGGAGTTAACATAGCAGCAGTACTGAAGATAAGCAGGCACTAACAAAGCAAAATTTTCTATATACAGACATGAGAACTGGAATAAAAAAGAATTTTTTTTCTTTAAATTCGAAGTGAATAGAAAACAGTTCAAAGTTTCTACAATCCATTCCATATTAGAAAAATGAGAGCACAGTTACAATTATGGCAATATAACTGAAACAGGCAAGAAAAAAAAAAGCACAAAGTTAAGAGTACTTTTGTACACAGTAAAGAGAAATTATAATTTGACAGAATTGCCTTACTTATTGGATGAAGAAGACTGGTGCTAATCGGTAAAATGCAGGAAGCAGCTCTCTTTTGCGTTGTACTGTGTCTAAAAAAATAAGTTGTTTTTTTTAGGTAATTAAAATGGATTAAAAACTTATCTTAAGTTACATATTAAATTTAGATGAATTCCAATTATTGTTTAACAAAATCATTATAGAAAAGCAGTAAGATTTTTATTCTAGAGACAGAACTCAAAATTTCACTCAAAATCATCAGAATGTACTTTATTTTTTTATTGAGATATATTTACTTTTAACTGTGAAAGAAATGTTATTGTATCTCATGCTTCCTCACTCGGCTAAAACCCAAATGGCCATATATAGAGGCTCTCATCTAACATCTTAAGTTTATTTTTTTAAGTTTTTCTACTGAATCTTTCCTAGCCAAAACAAGAGTCCAAGTTGGAATACTGCAGTGGTGAGATGTATTTGCTATTTTACATAATTATATTCAAGTAAATGTTGATAGACATACAGTTGTGAAGTCAGAGAGAGTTTTGCAGGCAGAGGTCTTAACTGTAAACAGAAATCTGAAATTGAATAATAATAATAAAAAAAACCTCTAAACAATTAGCCAATTGTTTACAGACACCTTTCTAACTTGATAGAGCTGCCATTTTTTATTTTTTATTTGTTAAAAAAAAGTAATTGTTCATTCAATACAAAACCCATAACCATTCAAGGTAGAGAGTTACTGAATAAGGTTATATGAATATAAAACGAGCGGGTAAGCAGTACAGATAATGAGAATATATAGAAAAGATAATGGACTCTTTAGTTCTGAGATACTAAACTCCCATTTTTGTAAATCAATGACAAATCTTAAGTGGATTGATATAAAAGATGACATGCATTTTATGTCAGTTTACTGAAAGGTTCTTGTTACTTTCCTAAAATCTGACTAAATGAGTCTCTTGGTTATGCCAAGAACTTTACAATACTCACTTGTATACTGTAATAAGCACTTAGAAATTATTAAAACAGAGCAAAGTAATTAAAAGATATTTAGTAAATTTTAAAATTTGTTTGCACTATTTAAAAAAAAAAAAAAAAAAAGAAAGAAAACACAGAACTTCTAAATAGTTAGGGTTTTCATTATGATATTTTGATTTCCTTTAAACTAAGACAAAGAAATTAATCCTAACTATAACCAAAATAAAGAACTACAGATTTTAAACCATTTAAAAATTCTTATTTACTGAAAATGAATATCAGTGAAGCAGTTTGGTCACTAATTATTGTATTGAACTATTTGAGAAAAAAAAAAATAGTCGGAACTCTCTTAAACATTTTTCAATTTTATTTGTAAAATAATTCAAGAAATAAGTATTTTATATTCTAACTAGTTAATTTTTTTTTTTTTACTAATCTGTTATTAAGATAAGACAAAAATACACATTATTACAAGATGTGGAAACTAAATTTGTTTTGCAGTTTAAAAAAGGTGTCTGTAAAGCAATGTACTTTCAGATGCAAAGAATACATTTGACAGAGAGAAAAACAAACAGAGAAAAATGTTCCCTGGTGAATATGAGAAACAGACATGAATTAGCCTTATGTAAATAAGAGGGAACAGTTGAGTAGATTCCATTTTAGTATTTTAATACCATAATAATATTCAAGTCTGTGCCTATATTACATTGGGGCAATTGGTATAAAAATGGATGTAAGACATAGATGGCTTATTTAGGACTAACATCAAAAATATACACATCAACAAAAATACAAAAACCAGAAACAGGGTAATTTACAATAATTCACTGTCTTTGTTGTTCTTGTTTGCTTTTTTGTTTTTTTTTTTTCATTAATTTGGTATATAATTTTTTTTTTTTTTTAAACAAGAAAAAACCTGAAACATTTTTTTCTTCATGTTTTTTTGTAGCATATACTTAAAAATAGTCATTTTACTTTTTGAAAAATTAAAAGGAGGGGGGAAATACCTGAATTTAAAAAAAGAAAAAAAAAAAAATTATTGTGTGGCCCAACATTGAAATGTTGAATACATAGAAGCAGTATATTCATCCCGTTGTCCATTCAAAAAAATAAAAAGTTGCTGAACAAGAGAAAAATATACAGAAGGTAAAACAGTAAAATTGAATAGAGAATGTCAGAGTGTAGCAACCATCAGGACATGAAAAAAAAGAAGTGGCAATCAAAGAAGAAACAACAGAAATGAATTATCAGGCAGTGTTCAGGGATAGCCAGTCTTTCACAAATTTGAGGCAAAAGTGTGTATTTAATAACCTGAATAACATTAAAATGTATACGTTGCTCTTTATTATCATTATTATTGGGGAAGAAAAAAAAAATCATCAAAATGCAGATTTCAATATTGTAATAACAAGGAACTAAACAACTTCTGGACTAAGAGCAAAAATTTTTTTTTAAAATCTTAACAGTAAAAACTAACCTATTTAAATTATATTTTAATATAAAAAATATTACAGTTCGACACGAACAGTTTTATTGTAAACAATATATTTTAACATTTTTAAACTTTATTTCAATACCATGAAACTATTGACACCTTGGATACGAGATAAAAATATCAGTTAATTTTTTAAAATGATTTTGATTTTACTTTCTCTAAAATTGCAAAAGAAAGTTTTCAATTCTAATCATTTTTCAATCTATCTCCATACACAATTTTTTATTGGTAAGAAATAAGATGGTTGATCATATTAAGATCATGTCTGCAGATAATTTTTATGAATAACATTATTTCAAGATACAAGATGAAAACTTTTATCTGAAGAATTATTACTCAAGTGAGCCATCTTAACATTCTAATTGCCAAATAGCATGAGGAAGAGAAAATGAAATATTAAAATACATAGAAGTGCTTCAAGGATTAAATAATACTTCAGAATATCTAGAATTAAAAAACAAAAAAATCTGACTCAGATGAGTGTTTCCACAAGAAATTCTTGAGTCAGCTAACCAGTTAAATCACTTTATTGAATAATGATAGAAAAGAAATTTGTAAGTTAAGCATAAGGTTTATGAAATGGTATTATTTTTAATAGAGATAAATAGTGAAGATTATAATAATTTTTTTTTACTTACTAATTTTCATAAATTTAACAAATTCATGAATATTTTATTTCATCCAATTTTAGCAGTGCTCTTCACTGTTTCTCCAGAAGTGAACGTTTTCAAGGGAAGTAACTCCTGTAAAGCTTTTATGTCAAAGCAAATCAATAATCTACAGTGAAAGATCAACTTTAAAATAGTATATGAGAGAGAGACTTCAAAGTAAATATAGAATGTTGAATTTATGTACTCAAGTAAAAATTAGTTTGAGTTCAAAGTCTAATGTGCAAATTATTTATATTGGATACTTTTAAGTACTGTATCCTATTTTTAAAGCCACTATTGTGTTAATGCTGTATGTCTACACAACTGCTTTTGGACGAGTCATTTTATAGTAAATTATGATCAATCAGTGTTTTTACTATTTGCATAAATCACACAGCCTAATATACAAAAAGCATTTATGGAGTTGAACTAAATAATGTAGATATGCATTTAATTATATATTTCCTTTTGACCATTAGCACTAGGCAATATTGTTGTTGTTGTTATTATTCAACTCCAGTATATATGGTGGCCCCTCAAATGCAAACTGCAGTAGCCATGATCTCAATTTTAAGTCAAAGTTGTTTTCTTTTTGCTGTAGCAACAGCACAACTGTGAGATTTAAATCTACTCTTATTTGGTAATTGGTGTAATTTGTAATAGCAGAAAAAAATGATTTCCTTGGTGAATGAAATTACCGATAGTATTTACAGTTAAACTTTGGAAATAATACTTTAGCAAAATTTTCTCATGTTCTTGGTTTGATGTAGGCATTATTTTTAAAGTTTTGCATACTGAAAAGAATATTCTTTTTTTCTAATCTATTATAAACAAAATAGTTCTATCAATTTTATATGAAAGAAATTAAAGAATATTTTTTGTTGTTAGAAAATGAGCAGCTGAATTGTATCACCCAACCTTAAAAGAAATTTGTTACCAATTAATATTTAAATATTGTTTAACAAAATTCAGATTATTTCTGACTTTGAAAAGAAAAAGCATAGCATATTATTGTCATATTTGATTTGATGGCAGAATTAAAGAGACAAAACCGGCTACAAAATTTGAACAAGTTCTTGAAAAGGCAAAAAGTCTGTTGGCAATTATAACAAAGTCAAATAAAAACTTTCAAAAAAGTAAATAAATTTTAAAAATTGATATCTCTCGTCTAACATAGGATAATTATGTATTGCTTTAAAGTTAAACTGCTTAGGTTTATAAATTTTTGAAGAGGGTAAACAAATATTGGCAATCTTTGCCCTTTGAACCCATATATATATATATATATATATATATATATATATATATAGTGTCAGAAGGATGGTTTTTCACTTGACACTACTATTATTTAAATTACCGTCACTCTTCTGCAATGTTTTAAAAAGCAATGATTAGAATTGTAATAAAACCTAAATATATAATGAAAGTGAGTTTATACATTTGCTTTTATTCTTGAGAATTGACAACAAAAATATTAAACATTATTAGATTGTTTATTTACAAGAATAATTTTATATTTACAACATTCTAAAAACTAATACAATGCAATATTTATCATTTACTAATTTATAAAGAAATAAATATGAAAACAACTGTTTTATTCATAAATTTATAAACATTTAATAAATTATTAAAATATGTGAAACCAACTGTAAGGAAATCCTTATTATTTACCATTTTATAAAATTTGGATCAATCTGCAATTAGCCAATGTTTTGTCAACCATTCCAATAAACAAAAGTGTAAATAAACAATTTAATAAATGTAGTGTTTATTATTTTTGCTGTCAATTCTCAAGAACAAAGAAAATATATAAATTCACTTTCATATGTTTAGGTTTTATTAAAATTCTAAACATTGATTTTCAAAACAAAAATTACCAAAAGTTAAGATAGCTAAAATAATAGCAGTGTCAAGGGAAAAACCAACCTTTTAACAAACAGTTTTTTTTTACAGGCATGAAGGTTAA